ATTTCACTTAGCACGGACAAGGGCATGATTGCACTCCATTTCTAGCGTAGACAGGCCTAAGTCACTGTTTTTTGACAGCTTGACGAGGTAGCCAGTCTTTCTTCCCCTCCCCCTGTCCCTTTTTTCCAAACCTTTTGCAATAATGGCGTCAGCACATCTGCCGTAGTCTTTTGGCCCGTTTCCAGTGCTTCTGGGGGAATTCCGTCCGGTCCTGCTGACTTTCTGGACTTCATTACCTTGATCGCATTCAGAATTTCTACTTCCGTTGGATGATTGGTGTCCACTAGCAGGCAGTTATGTGTGTGCTATCAGTGGTGGTATTTCTCGGCGAGTTGAAGGTGATGGTCGATTCAAGAGTCCTTTAAAGTAATCAGCACGTTCACTGTTTTTATTTGTTTCTCCTCCTTGGTGATCAGGTCCCCTTGAGCATCTTTTATTCGGTTCATCTCAAAAAATGATAAGGTGTTGCTTTTTTCTGTTTCCTACGTGAACTCAATTTGTGGAGAAGCCGCACTGAAAGTTTTGAGGAGGATTTCAATATCGATTTTGTTCTTACGCAAGATAAAATAAGGCAAAACTATAGTCGACAACAGAATGCTTACTCTTACATAACAGTAATAATACTGCCGGTAATCATACTTAAAACAATTCATCTCATTTATAAATTTGGACAGTGTTATTAGGAGATGTAGATTATCTGAAAAGTGATGTGATATATTCACGCAATACATTTTGAACAATCTGATTCGTCACACATTTACTTGTCAAGTCAATTTATATGAAAAATAAAGTCCAGTTAAAATACACAAAGTGACAAAAAGAATATAATTAACACTACGTTTAGTTAGATACAATCAGATAAGGATTATCAAGGCAGGTTAAGAGCAATAATAAATTGTTTACGTATACACAAGAGAAGGGAAGTCCCAAACTAGGATGAAACAGCTGTCCAGTACTCTCTACTGTCTCTTACTAGTTCTCTAACTGACAACAAACCGTGATTAGATGTGTATGACTTCTTTTTCACGCTCTACAGTTATCTGAAAATATTAGGATTCAGTAGCCAGTGAATGCGAGTCAAAATTTTTATCAGAAATATGTCAGAATATAAGATAAAGTGTAAATAAACAAATAAATGACATATGGTTGGAAATATGCTACCCACGTCACAAATTTGTTTATTCACAATTTGTTAGGATACATTCAAAATACGCTGGTTTAAATTTGGCTACCCTAGTAGATCTGTAGGGAGACACATGAACACCATATGCAATAAAGAGAAACTGACAACAGTTAAAAAGGAACAACTGTTCCTAAAATTGCAATTCAGTGTAGATGTGGTTGGTGAAGTCTTATATCTGAGATTATTGAGAGCAATAAAACGGACTTATACTGCCAACACCCTTTGTTTATTATTTTCCAGGTGATCAATTATGATTGCTCAAGTGAAAGACAAGCTACCCAGCTGTGTCACTTGAATGTGTATCTACAAATTTTTGTTGCTCCTGTGGAGAGAGCTATACAGGGCAAACAACTAGATAGCTCAGCACACGCATCACTGAGCGTGTTCCTTCATGATTCGGAAAAGGCTAAATGAAATTTATAAGAAGTTCTATCTTGCCTCATTTGATTGATAATAGTGGTCAGCAAGTGGACAGAAGAAGTGCCTTCAACGTTTTCTATCGCATTACATAGAGTCTTTCGAAAGTAATATAAACCCGCCTTTTACAAAAGCCGAAACTATGGGAGTGAACACGAGAGAACAATCCTAGTGTTTGCATACAAATGAAGTTTGTTCTACCTTTATCTCTCCCTTGCTTGCCTAGGCGAATTCTAATCAAAACCCTTCCACCCCTTCTTATTTCCCATTCCCTTCGTACTTTTATGATATTTATTTAAACTCTGATTATCTGTCCACTTCACCTACCTTCAGTATTACGTGACTTTTAAGATTTGACCTAATGTTCCATTTATTGAATTGTCTACATATACTCGCGTATTACTACATTCGTTATTCTCATCGCCACGTGCATGAACCTTTTTATCATTATTATTTTTGTTATCATTATAATCATCGTTATTAACGACATTCAAAACATTTACCACATTACTATTATTATTATTTAATCCAAAAAATCACCGTCATTGGTTAACAGTTTTATATATAAATCTATGCAAATTAGGGTGAAGCCTGAAGATCTAACTGAAAACAGTATTGGATTTCATCATGAGCTGACATTAGTTAGAAAACCATTGGTAAACCTAGGAGTACTGGACAGCTGTTTAATCCTAGTTTGGGACTATTCAGCAGTACGCACCCACAGGGATTCGAACCCAGGACCTTATGGTTACAAGGCGAGCTAGCTCGTATACCATTAAGCCACTGGGAACCGATCCAATGGCCCATGAATTCTAACTTCTGCCAATTCACGACATGGCACGACCCCTAGCCAATGTCTTCGGCGAGTATTTGTCCTCACACCCGACCTGCTGCACCCTACTGGTCACGACTTCTCAATAGAACCCCAGGTAACTACTTACCTGCTGAAGAGTTCCAAACTAGGACGAAACAGCTGTCCAGTACTCCAAGGTTTTCCAATGGTTCTCTAACTAATGTCAGCTCATGATGAAATCCTGTAACCAATCAAACCAACACTTGAAAACAGTATTGTTCGCCTATATTTTCTTATATTCACAATTTAACTTATGTTCTTAATGACTGTAGAATTTATATGCATTTTGTTGGTACTCTTAATTAAAGAACTATTACTCCATCTTATATTAGTATCCCGATACAATTTCTGGCTATTTGTGTTGTAATATTCATGAATTTATAACTGTATACCCCTAGAAAGAAGTTATTGAAAGCAATTATTACTTATTATTATTGTTTCCTTTAATTACTAGAGGAACATAGGGCTTCAGCCGCGCGTCCCCATTGCGTTCGGTTCTCTGCTAGAATCTTCACCTGGCTCCAAGTCTGCCCACATGCTGTTATCTCCTCTTCACATGACCTCCTCCAAGTCACCCTTGCACTGACGACCAACTCACCGCTTCCCTTTCGGGTTCCACTCGAGTAATGGCTTGTCTAGTGATGTCACTTGATGGTTTCCTCAAAGTATGGCCAATCCACCTCCATTTCTTTCTGCTTATTTGTTGCACAATTGGTTCCTGCTGGGTTGGTTCACTCCCAGAGATCCCTGTTGCTGATATTTTCTCGCCGGCCATTTGATCTTGAGTATTGAGCGAAGACAACTGGCTGTTAATGAAGGTCTGTAGTTTGTTTGAGATGCTCTTTATGACGCGCAGTGCAAGTCTCTGATCCGTATGTTAAGTAGCACTGGCTTCACATTGGAGTTGAAGATCCGGATCTTATTTTTGATTCTGAGTGCTGTTGACCTCCACACAGACTTGAGAGTAGTGAAAGCCTGTCTTGGTTTTCCGATTCTTGCTTTGATATCCTCTTCAGTTCCGCCTGTAGTTAAAACGATGTATTGAAAGCAATTATTCGCTCTAAAAATGTTCCTGTTCAGAATATTATCATCACTAATCCCTTGGATTCTGAGTGGAACACAGGGGGCTCAACAGAACATCTTCATTTCATCCTACTCTCTGAAGTCTCTTTTACCTGGCTCTGTTATTTCCCATAAAGCTGCATTTTTTCCTCGCATTATTTCCTCTATATTACCTTAGGACCCATGCTCAGCTCGTTGACTCGCATTCACGTTAAATATGATGTCACTCACTGGTTTCCCCAGACAAAATAAAGGAGTACTTTGATGAGATACTAAGTAGTGTCACACGTCTACTGCTTTGTTTGATGCAGACTGAATTCTATCAGTCAAGACTGCAATATGGCCATCATACTAGGTGGCTTGACTTCATGGTGCACTTTGAATTGTTGTAGACATTTCGCAGGAAGCTCTACCTGACCTAGATTTCGTGCTTGTTGGCATTAAACAGTCAGCAAGACATATCCACAATCCAGAAGGAGCTCAAGTTCATTCTGAAACTCAAACCATGTCACTTAGTGTGATCTCGAGCCCGAGTAGCCCGGTGGTAACATCTCTCACTGCAGCACTGGTTGATGTGGGCTCAAATCTCAGAAGCGACATGAGTTCCTTCAAGGTTATTATTATTATTGTTCCCTTGTGTTCCTAGTGCAATATAGAGCGTCAACTGCACGTCCCCACTTGCTTCTGTCTTCTGCTGTACTTTTCACTTGCATCCATGTTAGTCCATACTGTTTCAACTCTTCTTCACACGATCTCCAACATGTCATCCTTGGACGTCCCACTCGCCACTTCCTTTTTGGGTTCCACTCGAAGGTCTGACGCGCAATGTCACCTAGCGGCCTCCTCAGCAAGTGTCCAATCCATCTCCACTTTCTCCTGTATATTTCTTCGGCGATTGGTTGTTGTTTTGTTTGTTCCCGTAGTTTCTTGTTGATGATTCCTTCCGGCCATCTGATCTTCTGTATAGAGCGAAGACAGTTGTTGGTAAAGGTCTGAAACAGGCTGTTGAAAACATTCTTTGTGACCCGCCAAGTTTCTGATCCGTATAGAAGAACTGACTGACTTGACGTTTGTATTGAAAATCCGAATTTTGTTGTTGATGTTGAGTGACAAAGATTTCCAGTTTGGTTTTAGGTTGATGAATGTGTTTCTCGCCTTCCCGATTCTCGAGATGGTTGCAGATACTCATTAGTGACTGATGAGTGCTAACAAGCATGAAACTTAGTTCAGACAGGGTTTCCTTCTGACTGCCTCCAACCACCATATGACCAGATTTAGAAGTGACTGAGGTGAGAATTGGAACCTCAATCACGTGTGTTGTTGGGAAGTGTTCTACTTCTGCTCCGCCAAAGCCTCAGGTAAAATTACTGTTTACTGTCATCCTGTCTCTCGAAAGTCATTTCTCAAACACACTGTTCAATTAATAACTAGCCTTTTAAATGAAATTATCTATCATTTCCATTTTTTTTCAAATTGATTTTTCAGTATTGATCGTTCAACAAAACTTCAAAATCAATACGGATATTTGTGTGAAAAATCAAAGATACCATATGATTTTGTAATAATGAATGGATCCTCTCCCGGGACTGGTATTCTTCAAGCTGTTGACGATTATAAAGCTGATCTAATCGTAATGGGTAGTCGTGGTTTAGGCTTAGTGAAACGTACATTTATCGGCAGTGTAAGCAATTATGTTGTGCATAATACGCATATACCATGTATTACTGTGCCGCCTGAGAATTAAATCAAGCAACGACATTAATATCTATATCTATATATATACATGTGTATGTGTGTGTGTGTGTATTCAAAGAGTTATTCTCTCTTATTTCAAATGAGTTAATTAATTAATTAATTTGTGTATTTGTTATAAAATCAAAATATATATAATATTCAATTCTTATATGAACCGTAATCTGCTACTTTTGATTTGTCCGGTTGGATAGCTATGGATCGATATGCCTGTAATGATTAAAACCAACTTGTTATGGTGTTCTGAAAGCAGGAAATCGATCTTTTTGCCTTCTACTGTATAGAGCTGACCAAAACCTTCTTGAGTGACTCATAGTCACAAAACGTCCTTAAACGACAGCAAAATCTGTGATTTTGTTCAACACTAGTAAAATGAAGAATTCAAAATTACTTCAGCAGTGCCGCCAGGCAGCTATTCACATCAGATACGTTTCTAGTACAAAACAAGTGCTGCAGAACAAGATTGGTTAACCAGAATCCTATCCTTGAATCAAGTAGAATATTTAGAAAGCAGAAGGATTGAGTGAAGAAATATTTACCTTTCAATTAGATCCTCGTCTCACTCTGGCTCTACTCCAATAAACACGTACCTATAGCATTTTTGTTACAGTACACAACAATTTACCAATCAAGTGGCACTGATATATTTGTTAACAATCATTAGTCGATGTCATCATGTAAATAGGGTGATACTTAACGAAGAAAATAATTACTCACAATTAAAAGGTAGAAATGGTTGCGACAAATGAATTGCGTAATTCATGATTTTCGAAAAATCAAGAGTAATTAAGGAATAAGCGTGTGCACAGGTTGATTGCGTAACAGAGTGTTAAAGGAAATAAAACGATTTGGACAGTGATAACTTGTAACTAAGGGTGAAGAAGTCAGAAAAAAATAAAATAATTTGGACAATTATAATTTTTATAATTTTTAAGGGTTTAGTGGGAGGGGGGAGAAGTAGTCAGGTTTATGCATTCATGTAACGATGGCCAAGGTGAGGAAATTGGCTGTACACATTTTTTCTGAACACATAGGTTTGGCTTTTTCAGGTGGATTCCTATTGCTTTAGCTGTATGTAGAAGACGAACTCATAAAGCAAAATTAAGATTGGTCGGAATGCGATAAATAATTTTAAATGCTGTATTAGCGTCAACCTTATGCTCACTATCTACAAGTGTCTAAATAGAGCTACGAATAGATCTTGTTTGTCCCTTGCTTAACCATGCTGCAGGATGATGTTCGGAAATACGATGATAAACCTGCCTAATTGTAGAGCCAGAGATGAGGATCTAATTGAAAAGAAAATATTTCTTCGCTCAATCCTTGTGCTTTCTATATGTCTAAATAGGGATTCTTTCTATATTCAAGTAGAATAGTCCCAACAATGTGGGATCAAAGCTCTATCAGCAAGAATCACACACCAACTGTTGTTGTAGACAGTCCAAAGTCAGAACGACCTTAAGTTACTGAAACAAAATCACACCATAAGACAACACATTATCAAGGTATTGCACAAACAAAAAGAGAAAAGCGTTAAAATTAGAGATTAAATAGGAAGAAAGATAGATAATAATAATAATGATTTGCTTTATTCCAAAACAGTACTTGTGATACAGAATGGAATTCTCAGCATTTTTACTACAGTTTTGCATCCATTTAGTACATTATCAATAAATAGAATTCTAAATAGATTAAGGAAATCTCAGTTCATTATGGCAACAACATATTGGCATGTCGGTAGAAAAGCCAAAGTTGAACAGAATGTTTGAAGGTTTTAGAAAAGTGGGAGCTGTCATATTTACTGGCGTAAGCGAGAGAAAGAAACAAAGCAGCACATAACAGATAGAAAAGGAAAAGAAAGAAAATGTTATACCTATAAATGATGTGAGTTGAAAAGACGAGATCCAGTTGTTCTACTGACTATTCAATAAATTATAGGTATCACGCCTAATGCTTTCTTTATCGCACAGAACACGAGCTAAGTAGGGTATGGTTCAGTTTTTCTACTTGCTGGTGCGAGCATATAGTTTTCTAAATAGGCTTCTGGTTTTACCTGATGAGATGCAAGGGGAGAGTTGTGAGTGAAGAGGGTGGTGTGAGTTAGATAGAATGGATTTGGCCCATTTTTCACATGAGTCCATGTGCCTGTCGACCAGAATATTGACAAGCTGGCTAAGTGGCACGTTGCTTACCCTGCTGACAACCTTTAACATCCTGCGTAATATGTTATAGTCTTTCTTCAGATCACAGTGATATATAGCCTAGGAGAAAAGAGGAAAGCTATCGCAAAGTTAGTTGAAACAACCAATTAATTATCAATATTGTAATTAGATCGTTCACAGGGGATTTCCCAAACAAGTATTACGTAACAGTACAAACCTTGTTGGAAATCAATTCCCTTGGATAGTCGAAGGTGTAGTATTAGGTTCGGTGTACACCAACCGATACAGTTTACTGCTAATACGGTATATAAGATGAGCTCTTCAGTGATAAGTTGTTATATTATTGTCAGGTACATTAGGGGAACGTCTCAAATATGACTACTGATAGGCTTTACAGGATGTGTTTCTATACTTGAATTTGGTCATCATTCAATCCACGCAATATAGTGCACCAGTCCGTATATATAACGCGGCCACTGTAATTTAAGAGTTAAATTAATTCAATAGACAATAAATATGGACACCATAACAAGTGTAACTTTATTACCGAAGTAAAATACCTTGAAAAAGGGTACTTTTTGAAGCTAAATAAAGCGTGAAACAGTATTATATTTCAATGTATATTTCGCCACGAAAAAATATCAGTAAGGAAGTCATAGAAAACAGAGGACCACTGGATACCTGCTTCGTCCTACCTTCAGAACTATTCACCAGTATGCACCGACGACCTTACCAGAGGTTAAACTCAGCACCTTGAGGTTAGGATTACTCAGTCAAATGGTTGGAATTCGATGACATGTGAAGTACAACTCCAGTCAACCTGATGCTCAACGACAGCACTGGTGTGCGGTAGCCGTATATCGAGAACTGACGAAAGTTGGAGTCCAGTCATGACTGGATTCAAATGGAACGACGTCATAAACATAAGGTCCTGAGTTGGATGGAAAGTTGGATGGATGAAAACTGATGAAGAGTTCAGGAAGTGGGGACAAAGTGGTTATCTGCCTTTGATCTTTATTTTCGAATACATCGAAGGAATTATTGAACTGTTGCACTATTTAAAGATGTAACTTCTCTGACTGCAGGACTGGGTGAGTCGGGTCCGAATTTCAGAAGGTACATGAGTTCCTTTAAGGTTGCAGATACGCCTTTCTGACGAGTGCCAACTAACCTGAAATCTCGGTCCAAGGCTTCCTTCCGACTATCTCCACCCATCAAATATGTATTCGAAGCATTATTTACAGTCTACCTGTAGGCGGATGTAAGCGTGCATTCATAGACAATATACGTTGATAACAAATTTATTTCAATGAATGTTTTGATACAGTGTGGAAGTCTCAGTATATTTCACAATAATCCATTGAGTATTACCCTTCGCATCACATAGTAAGGAGAGGAGTACTTATAAAAATTTATGATATTTACAATAATAATTATGGCAACAATAATGACAGTCAAGTATTGGTTTGTAGCGATTTGACTGATTGGTTACAGGATTCCATCATGAGCAGACATCCGTTAGAGAACCATTGGAAAACCTGGGAGCAATGGACAGCAGTCTCCTCTCAGATCGTGATGAAATCTTGACACCAATCAAATCCCATTAGACCAATACTTGAATATCAGTGAGATGACCACTAGTGACTAGCCTAATTCGGGTAGGTAGTTACCTTGGGTTCTAGCGGGAAGTCGTGAGCAATAAGGTGCAACAGGTCGGGTGTGAGGACAAATACTCTCTGAAAACACTGGTTAGTGATCGAACTCTGTCGTGAATTGATGGAAGTTAGAATTCATGGACTGACCATGGGATCGGATCCCAGCGGCTTAATGGTCTACAAGCTCGCTAGCCTTGTAATAAGGAGGTCGTGCGTTTGAACCTTGGTGGTGGGTGCGTACCGATGAGGACTGCCAAACTAGAACGAAACAATTTTCCAATATTCACAGGTTTTCCAATGGTTCTCTAACAGATTTCAGCTTATGATGAAATCCTGTCACCAACAATGATAGTATATAAGTATATCCACCAGACATAAATTGGTAGGAATAATGATAACAATACATTAATGATAGGGAGAAGAGAAAAAGTTGTTCATATACTGTTTCCAAGTGAACCAGTAATTTCATACCTTATAACCGTTTTTCATCGCATGGAAAGCTCGTTAAACAAGATATCATCCGGCTTTTGTACATAGTTGTGCGGTTATAAAGTCTTTTCAAAATTGCTTCTTGTTCAACCTGGACAGCTGCAACGTTGAGAGTTGTGAATAAAGTGGGTTCTGAGTTTGATAAAGTAACTTTTGACAGTTTTATTTCATGAGTTCAAATGTCTGTCAATTGTGATACAAGCAAGTTGGTCTGCAGAGATTTCCACAACACACAGAAGAAGTGGATTTTTTAAGTACCCCAAGAAAGAATAAGCAAGAGCCTCGAGGTTAAATTTGAAACACAAAATTACAAACCTTATCTAATAATTTTTGTATGTGTTAAGAACTGCGTTATATTCGTAAAATAACAAAGGAATTCCATTACTCATCCGTGAGCATGTCATCAACAGACGATTGCACACCTGAATATATACCAAAATGCCTACGTTTCAAAAGAACATGCGCCTTCTATAGTGCTATTGCCAGTCATCTTCTTGATACAGATAATATGAGGGAAATCTCAAAATCCTTTAAAATTGTCAATGAACGAAATAGTTTGGTTCTCTTCAAGTTTGCCGAAACAATTGTCGCCGAAAGCCTGAAACCCCATTTATGTGTTCAGAAAGAAGCAGTTATCATTGGTATTTCCTTTTCTTGGTAACTGGATGTCTTTGTTCACTCTTTCATTTGACTACTTGCTCTTTGGCTTTGACCTTATCCCCCTTTGATATAAAGTGATTCTGCTTGTCTCTTGTTTCTATGATTTGAGCTGAACTCACCACATTGTTACTCACTTTACGAGTTACTCATCATCTTACTCACCTCTTGTCTTTATTACTTTACTCCTTTACTCT